GAGAAATATGCATCATTCATGAAGGATGTCAACATTTTCTGGCATCCGGTTGACTACACCCGCGATATTGAATTCTTCAACGAACACTCTGTGTTGTCCTACTTCACTGAAGATTTGGGCTTGAACTCATACTGGTACTATTTGAACATGGACTACGCTTTCTTCTTGAACGGCGACAAGTTCGGTTTGAACAAGGATCGTCGTAGTGAATGGTGGATCTTTAATGTTGAACAACTGTTGTCTCGTTACTACATGGAACGTTTGTCTCATGGTTTCGGCGATATTCCAGAACTCTCCTGGTACCACGCTTACGAATACGGCTATGATCCAGAGTTGGTCTCTTTCAATGGTGCTGGTTACACTTACCGTAAGAACTACTTCGAAATCCAAAGCTACGGCAACTTTGACATGTTGAACCAGATCCAAAGCGCCCACAAACGTATCTATGGTATCATTGAATCCGGTGTGTACACCACCCGCGACGGACACAAGATCGATTTGCAACAACCCGAAGCTGTTGAATACATCGCAGATTACTTGCAAGGTAACGTCGATATCTTCGACAAGTACGTCCTCAACTCTTGGTACATGCTGAGCCACATGCTCATTGCCAACACTGAATATAACCAATTCGAAGTAATCCCCAACGTCATTTTGAACTACGAAACCATGATGCGCGATCCCCTCTTCTACAGCTTGTACAAACAAATCAGCACTGTCTACTACCTGTACAAACAACAACTCCACCCTTACACCAGAGAGGAACTTGCTCTGCCCGGCGTTGAAATCAAGCGTGTGGGAGTCAGTGAATTGGTTACCTACTACGATTTGGTAGACTTTGATGTCACCAACCTCATGAACGACAAAATGGTAATCGTTGATGGTCAATTCGTCTGGGGTAAGGCACTATACGCCCGTCAAATGCGTCTCAACCACAAACCATTCAACTTTGACATCACAGTCCAATCTGACAAACCACAAAAGGTGGTCATTCGCGCATACTATGGACCCAAATACGATGAATATGGACGTATTATCTCGCTGAACCAGAACCGTCAGAACTTTGTTGAATTGGATGCATTTGTTCATGAATTGTCTGCTGGTGAGAATGTCATCAGACGTTCGTCCGACGACTTCTACTCGACTGTCAAGGATCGCACCACCTACACTGAATTGTACCGCTACGTAATGGCTGCCTTCGATGGCAAATATGCATTGCCTTTGGACATTAGCGAACCACACAGTGGCTACCCAGACCGTCTTCTCTTGGCTAAGGGATGGGCAGGTGGTTTCCCAGTGCAACTGCTGTTCTACATTGCGCCATACCAAGCGACCGTTGAGCAATCCTACAACTTCGATGCATCCTACTCTGCTGGCATTGGTTCCGGCGCACGCTACGTTGACAACAGGCCCTTCGGTTACCCACTCGACCGTCCAATTGACGAGTACGAATTCTTCGTGCCTAACATGTACTTCATTGATGCCAGCATCTACCACCAAAACACACTCAAGCAATACTACGAGGGATACAAGAACTACGGACAATTCGACTACAACTATTACAATGACTACTACACCAAATACTTCAATTAAATCAAAGGCTCCAGCTGGCTGTGGAATTTGGTATTTCTAAGAAAAAAAATGAAAATATTGTCATGTTGTACTAGTAGCTTAAGGGTTAAAGAAAGTAAAGCAGAACGAAATAAATGGTAAAAAGGATAAATACGACTTTGTTACTTGTAATTAGTTACAGTAAGCATTTTCATAGTAGCGTTGATTGCTTTCGGGTTTCTATAACCTCGAAGAGCTTTGAGCTCAGCTTAAATTAAAGGCTATTATTATTAGCTCGTCTCGCGAAACTAAGAAGCCTTCCATCCATATTTAAAAAATTGTCTTAGTATACTCATGCTTGCTTTCATTGAGCAGATGGGACTGTAAAATAAAACACATACGACAAGAAATGTGTGGTTTATTAGTTTAAAATTGGATCTTATTCAAAATTGCGTGGTTTTTCCTATCCTGAGATTTATAGGAACACCAAGTGAAAAATAATTTTACTTTAGGTTGTCACCATTGGTGGTCTAATCTAGCTTAAGCTCATTCCAAACGGGAGTTTAGTGTAGCCAATCAGAGCACACTTGACCAAAGCATCAATTCTGCCCACTTAGAAGTGAATAGCATTTATGAACTTTTCCCTCCATGGTGAAATTTTGTATGTACATGAAACGATGGATTTTGGAATAGGCCCAAGGCGAAGCGGTCGACAGAAAACCGAAAAAGATTAGTCTTTATATGAACCTTCAGGAACATCAACAGCTTCTTTAGTATCTCGAATAACATCTTTAAGCAGTGGAGTATCAATTAAGATTTCAAATCATGGTTATAAGTGATGCTAAGATTGACGAATGGAACGTAAAAAGATAAAAATAAAGATAAGAGAAAAATAAACTATGATTTGTATGTAGGTCCTAATTGTTGGTATAACCGCTTAAGTGTTTTTGACTGAGATCAACATGGCATTTACGTCGTTCCTCTAGCTATCTGCCGCGCACCAAAAAACTAAGTCTCTCTCCATCTGATATTTCCAACCCGGAGGAGGGCTTCCTCTTCTTCTACCAGCACCAGGGTGTACCGCCTGGAATACTTACGATATCAAAGTCGTTGTAAAGACCACACAGCCCACAGTTCCTCGTTCGGTAGTCTTAACATTCTCGATAAGGCCTTATAGCCGATGCTAAGAGTGCTGATATCGCGTCAGCTGTTATCGTGGATTGTGCAGAGCACATTTAAATTCCATAAACTGCAATCGTCAGGCATGCATGGCAGCGCAAGATCAATTCCGTCATCTCCGATTGGCAACTCAGAGCTTTCACTATTATCAAAAGTTATTGGTTGTCCATGCTAGAGGGGTCCCCACTCGGAGCCGCTATCCTCACTTGGGCGTTGTAGTCACTATGGAATTCCACGATTATCTATAAAAACAGGGAGGTCAAGCGGTGGCTTGAACCCCTTACCCGTTACAAAATACAGGAGGAGTACCTCAACCGTTACCTACAACCACTAACGTAACGGCGACAACATCGGAACGTACTTCGAGGCCTGCCAGGGTTTTAATGGGACGGCATGGCATTAGCCTGAAAGCCATTTCTGTAGGGTGTCACCCCTACACACTCAGGTAACAGAATACCCCAACCACCAGCTCAAGGCAAACAAATCATAAACGTCGTGGAATTGTGGTGGCCCGGGGAGATGTTTCACCTTCCTTTATTTGTTCCCCAACCAAAGATTGAGGTAAACAGTGCCACCAATGTCAAGGAAAAGGGGGTGATTGATAGCGAGAAAGGCATCACATCCGAAGATCAGCCGTCGCGTTGCAATTCACTGCAGTTTGGTACGAGTTTGCTCGAAAAATACATATATTTATGTAGAATCACTTGATTATACGCCGTATGTGTGCTACCATCGCATAGTGGATCAAAACTGGCTTTGAGTGTTCACAATTCACTGGAGCCTTCATTTTTGACTCAATTTTGATGAATTTTTTTTTTAATGAAAGCTAATAAAATTTGCAAGAGACCAGTTGAGCCTGTTTTTTTTTTTAATTTTTATTTGAAGTGCAGAAAAGGAACCAGTTGATAAAAATTAAAAAAAAACTAAGTGTTATGAAAACATTTTCACGAATTTTTTTTTTTTGTCTTTAGAAAAAATGTGGATATGCAGATTTATATGTGATATCTTCAACTTTAGTAGTATCAATTTTGCAAAAATGGAAAAAAAATATTTTTAATTTTGTGAATATCCCGAGAGGCATCTGGCGTTTGACCCCTTTACGAGAGCCTTAATCGACTCCAATCGGGACCAAAATTTCTACGTGATATCTTCGACTATGATAGTATCGATTTTGGGTATTAGATGAAAAATTAATAATTTTAATTTTTTTCAATCTCTATAGAGAAATCTGAACTATGCCCCCTGTGCGGCACGCCCTTACCGTTTCCAATCGGGACCAAAATTTATATGTGATATCTGTGACCGTAGTATTACCGATCGAGGATTTAAGGGCCACCCTAATGTACATATCAAGGTGCTTTCCTTCAGCTAGACAATAAAAATTTTATAAATTTTACAGGAGGTGTGTCTATCAAAAGAACAATAGAAGCTGAAGTCGCAGTTGCACGCAACAGAAACTATTTCAAATATGATACTTAGGGCCAATTTCACAGTGCGTAGCTTACTCAGAATCGGCAGTTAACCAGAGATTTTCAGTACAAAAATCTGTAGTTAACTGCCGATTCTGAGTTAACTACGCATTGTGAAATTGGCCCTTAGTGTTTACTTTTAAATATCTCTTAGTAAGCACTCGAAAAATTTCATACTCACAAAATTGTGTAAAATTTAATGTGAAACTGTCTTATGAATTTCAGTAGATATATAAAATTTTAAAGCAATGCTTGACCACAGATATATTAAAAAAAAAGCTGGACATCAATCAGATTGGCTTATTGAACATATCGATGGTCCTGTTCAATAGCGACAAAATTCAAAATTCAAAAAATTAAAACCCCTAAAGTACTATTAAGTGGCTTATGTCTCTAATTCTTGCCTAATCCATGTATAATCCTTACTAAAGTAAGTAGTAAGGATTACTAAAGTAAGTAGGAAGGATTAGACATAAATTATACAAGGATTGGAAATATGAACCACTTAACAGTAGTAAGTTTTTTTTTGAATTTTGAATTCTGTCGTTATTGCAGACAACCATCGATATATCCGCTCATGTAGAAAAATAAATTTAAATTACTTGCAACAAAATCAAATTTTTTTCTTGCAAATTTATATTTTAAATTGGGAAGTATGAATAAAAACTAAGCAATTGCTTTTTTTATTTTTATTCATAAGGCCCATTGTATCTACTTTAAGCTCGTCCTATGATTGCAATTATGCAGTTTTATCAAAAATTCTTTTTGATTTGAGTTAGTTTGATATTTTGCTATGAATATTTTCTTTTTTCTTTTTTGCTGTACTCCTATTGGCGGCCGCTGTGGTTGATTGGTTAGCAGTGCGCGCAATGGTGGATTTGCAGTCTTGTCCGCCCTAGGCCCTATAGTACCAGCCGCCCCAGTCTTGGCTCCATTATTTTGTAGGTACTACATATGAATTAACTTTTTTGTCGACTTTTATCGAAATATATTATCGATAAAATAACACCGATCCCTGTATTGCTTACTGCTAACATTTGTCATTTTATACGAGGCATGCCCAGCGCGCTGCCAAATTTTTGCTCTTGCATACAGACTGCAGCGTTGATCAGAAAAAACTCGTTAATTCGGAATTAACTTAGAAATTACCTGCATTTGCTCCGGAATAAGCCCTGCATCTAATTCTCAACATGAATGCGGATCAGAGGAATTTCCAAAACGACCAGCTATTCTCGATTGCACAAGTACGCAAACAAACTAAGCGAGTTTGGCATTCGCGGTAGCCCAGTGGTAAAAGCTGCATACTGCAATTCCATAGGACTGAGGTTCGATCTCCGATGCCAATAATTTTTATATTTTATTTTATATATTTTATTTGATTTATTCATTTTATTTTGTCTAAATTTATATCATACTAGCAAATACCCGGCGTGCTTCACTACTCCTAAACGTATTATTGTGCTGCTTGATACCCATATTGTAATATTTCATTTATTTTATCAACTTAATTTAATAAAATGTTTCAAGCAGGTGGCAACCCTCCTCAAAAACATTTTCGGCAGTAAACTTTTTTAAACCTCTTCAGTTTGATACCCATATTGCAATACTCAATTTACCTTATCAATTAAAAACTTTTAAACAGGTAGTAACCTTAAAAAAAAATATTTTCTGCTGTAAGCCTATTCTTTTTCAGCCATATTGCAATATTTACTTTATATTATCAATTAACATAAACTGCAAACAAACAGGTGGCAACTGTCTAATTATCTTCTTTTTTTTTAAGTTAGACCTCTAGCAATACATCGGTGAAAACTACATTCTATTCCATGTATTAGTTTTCGAGTGATGCGCGTACAATCATACGGGCAGATAGACAGACAGACAAGAATTCTTAAAATTGTTGATTTGGTTTCTGTTGCTCTAATAAAGACCCCCCATATTAATTTTTCAAAGCAACATCGCAAAAATTTTTGAAAAAAAGGTTTTTTTCTTAACAGCGGTCGCCCCTCGGCAGGCAATGGCAAAACTCCGAGTGTATTTCTGCCATGAAAAACAGCTTCTCATAAAAAAACAATCGCCGTTCGGAGTCGGCGTAAAACTGTAGGTCCCTCCACTTTGTGTGGGAACAATAAGGCGCACGCCGCAAATCGGAAGAGAAGCTCGGCCAAACACTAACATATAAGCGCCAATGTATTATTATTATTATTATTATTATTTTATTATTTTTTCTTTAAAATCTATAATGTATAGACATCGGCCTATTACAATTTTATTATACATATGTATAGATTATTTATTTTATTATTAGATAATTAAAATTTTTCGAGTTTAATTTTATTATAAAAGTGCAGACCTATAATTACATTAAAAAAAAAAAAACAAGTAGAAAAGTCTAAGTTCGGGCGGAGCCGATCATTAAATACCCGGCGCAAGTATTAAATATATGTTTTTCACCTTTCCGAAAACTACCGCTACGTGGTAAACATGGGTGGTTTTACGTCTATTTCAAACATCTGCGATAGAACGTTCAGTTAGATGTAATGAGAAAAACTTATGTATATAGATATATGTGGGCGGCATCACGCCCATTTTCCAAAATTCCATAATAGTAATGTTACTTCTCTTCAAGGGATTTTTAGTATCAATAAGCGTCCTTAAATTTCGAAATAGCGTTACCGTTATAGAAAAGTGGGCGTAATTTTGGTCAGATTGCAATAATTTTCAACTTTTTGTCTTTATGTGGCAAGCACATTAATCATACCGAGTTTGGTACAAATTGATCGAACACATATGTGAATTGATACACATATGTGATCATAAGCGGGCGGGGTCACGCCCATTTTTCAAAATTTGATTATAACCGCATTTTTTGCTAACGAATTAGTACAAACATCAATTTTGAATAAATTAGCTTCAGTATTTACTGATTTATCGAAACTTTCGTATTTCTCTAAATCAGTGGTCGGCATTCTAACAGCAGCATTAGCAGAGGACCAAATCTTCTACTTCGCACATACTAAACATCGCAAATCATGCTGCTGCTAACCATTACCGTTGCCTTCGCCGCGGCCTTGCCCTTTTCTGCCTCTTTGCCTGTGTTCGCACCATTGCCGCGGTTACCATCTTTGCTCGGATCGTTTCTGACCGCAAAATTGGCACTGTCGCTGTCAGATGGCATTGGAACTCCGCTACCACTCTTCTCGTACGACTCTTGCACACAGGCCGCGCTCTTCAGCCGACAGCTCGCTCAATCTTGCTGCCCCGCTTGCATTGAGACCGCATGCCGTGCACCTTGCTTTCAAAACTGGACCAGTGAGTATTTTTTGGCACCTATACTGTATTGTGTCATTTTCCGCAATTCAATGACCACTTATGACGAAATTGGTAGGCGTTCAACTGCCACGTTTGCTGGTTTCGTGCACGATCATTCAGAGTACAGATTTGCCGAAGTCAATATCAGTATGAGCAGTTATAAGCATCGCTCACTTGTGATGGCTGTATTTGCAAGACAGCACGCAATGCGCTCGTGTTCAGTCATCCTCTAATTTCGTTTAGGTATCGATACTACTAAAGAGCGAAATACACCATACAAGCGGCTTGTCAAACATACTTTTCCCATTTTGCCATACACCATGCAAACATGAGTCATTCAAGCACAGAATTTCAGTTTTCTTCCGGTTCACAATGTTAAACATTTTTGGTTTTCTTCCATTTTTCTGCCTTACGTCCTCACTTGGTGAAAATTCAGTGGCAAATGAGGCGATTTTACCATCCACATCGCAAGCGGTTTGTTCAAACGTCAACATGGCGGCCAGAAAATCAAAAAAATTTGATTTTTGCTCAAATTTCCCTCAAGCGGTTTGTCAAACCTTCAAACACCCCCATACACAGCACAAATGGCTTGAAGCAAAGGGAAATTTCGCTTGGTTTGTCAAACCGCTTGTGTGGTGTATTTCGCTCTTTAGCCAACGCCGCTGCTCAGTCATACAAAGCAGCGGTATTGAATGAGTATGAACAGTTGACGATCAACCAATGCCATTCCCTGGTTTTTATAGGTAACTCCCACAATATCGAATGTTCCTTTATTCCGCTAACCATTAAAAATATAGTTCCTTGGCGGTCATGCATTAAGGGATAGACCCATAACTCTGTTACTTATGTAGACACAAGACGCCTTATGTCTAGTTTATAATAACTTAAACTTAATACTTAGTGTAGGTACACATATTATACACTCCTACAAATGTTTTTTTTAGTAATTTATTAGATCACCTCTATGACTAAAAATGTCAGG